GAGTCTAGTGTGGTTGTCGGTTAATTGTTATTCGCCCTGTTTTACAATTTTAAAAGCAGTATGAGGTTTGATGTTTTCATTTTATAGTTTCGTGTGTATATTTTACTGTTTTATTGATTATGGATTGAATGACTGGGATATTGATGCTGTATGTTGTCTGTTTGGCATAAATTACTGTTTTGCTTGTTTGTATGTTGATTGATGATGCTGACTGAGGAAAAAGAGAATGAAAGATTATGTAAATGGGTAATTGTATAATGTGGTCAGCCTGACTAGATATCCTGGGAGATGGTAGACGGACCGGGTCCGTAGGGAACCCTACCGGGATTGTGGTCTCCCATACCGGACGGGGTATGGAGATCTTATGTGTTTTGGCGGCCATACCGAACGGGGTATGGGGACGGCCCGTTTCACCCTTATACCGGACGGAGTAATGAGGTTTATAGTTTTGGCGCCCATACCGGACGGGGTATGGGGACGGCCCTGGAATCTGATTTCAAGTGTTAAGGCTTAACGGATAGCGGGACCCCTATGGATCCCTATGGATACTAGTGGGCTGGTAAATGAGAAAAATATGTTGTGTAACGATTGAATTACGGAAGGCTTGATAAGTATTATATTATACAGTTTATATATGATTTCATGATGATGATGATGTTATTGCTTTCGTATATTATTTTTATGAATTTCACCGAGGTAAGTGAATGGTAAATGTTTTATTATTGATAAAAGGATTTGTTGTAAATTATGCTCCATTGGTCTTTTTGTGTTTTCTACCCACCTTTACCTCCGTGACGGTGGATATCGTGATGTCTTTATTGGGCTAGTGTAGCTAATTCCTTATTTAATCATTTCATATCAGGAAGACATCGTTCCCGAGCCGGTTCCACAGGAGGACGACGAAGGGGATGCCTAAAGACTCCATAGTCATATTCGTAGCTTTTACTTTCAAGTTTCTCATTTAGGTAGTTTGATCTTTTATATTGTGAGCATGTTTTTGGTTTTAGTGTAAGGGATGTTAATCGAATTTTTGACTTCGCTTCCGCATTTGATATTTTTAATATACATTTCATTTTAAATTTCCGGGACCGTTACAATATATATATATATATTATTTTTTATTTTGTAAATTATTTACATAAATATTTATATACACAATATATTATATTAGCAAAATTTTTTAAAAAATTATATTATTCTTAAAAGGGACAACCTTTTTTCCAGGAAGCTGCTCGTATATATGGTTTTCTAGTTTTAATTATTACACAACATTTTTGTTGTTTATGATGTAATAAATATAATTTTTATAAAAAATTTGGATAAAGTAAAAATAAATAATTAATAATGGAAAATGTAAAATTTTATATCACTAAATAATTTATTACAATTAAAAAATAATAATTATGAATATGAAGGTATCCCAGGCGTGATCATTAATGAGATTTGGTGGACCCCATCGACTCCAACGTACCAGACACTGGACCATCAGCAAGTGGCGGGTAGCGGGAGGGGAATCTGGTGGGCTGCTCTTACCGCGTTTTCCACGCAACACCCTCTTCCTCTTTCTTTATTTTTTATTTTATATATATAATAAAACTTTAAAAAGCCTTAATTACGAAATAATAAATTTTCACTTTTTATTTTAATTTGGTCTTTTACTTTGAAACTGTTGCAAATATTTTTTCTTTTAAATCAATATATTTTTTAATTTAAAAATAGATACTATTTAATTGTGATTATCACAAATAAACAAATTAGTAACTATAAAACATTTTTTTGATAAATTTATAATAGTTTAACAAGAATAAACTCAGCTTAATTATTAAAATCTTCCTAATATATTAATAATTTTAAATTTTAAATTTACATAATCATATATTATAAAGTTATTATTCTGAATCCATAAAATACTTTAAAAAAATATTAAATTTTATGTCAATATTAATTTATAAGTTAAAATTAAAATTTCAAAATATATTGTTGCTAGATAAAAATTAATTATATTATTAAATTTTTTTATTACATATATTAATATATTTTATTTAATATTTTAAACTATTTTAAGAATATCTAAACATGATTAATTAAAAAATATTTTTTAGTTTTGCTTTTTTTTTATCCAAATAAATAATATAAAAATATATTACATTTAACTCTCTCTTAAAATATTTTATCTGTGATTATTTTAATAGAAAAAACTTTTTTTTTTTAATAAAAATATAATAGGCTAATTACAATTAAATAAATTTTTCTATTATAACTAATAATAAATAATTTATAAAATAATAAATTATATATTTTTAATAAAATTTAAATTTATAATTTTTTAACGTAACACAAAAATTATAAACAATATAATACAATATTATTAATTAATTTATATGATAGTTATTTAAACTACTATTTTTACAAGTTCAATAAATTTTCTGAGAATATAAATAGTACGTGATTATATCGCCCTCGTGAAAGACCTATATGGAACTTCTGCCTTTCTTTCTTTTTTCTTTTCAAATGAAATATATTTTCTTGGTGCATCCCCCCATGACTCTTTACTTTTTTTCGTTTCAATGTCATGATTGATTTATTTATTGGGGGATAATGATAAAGCCTTACACTATATTTTCTATATTCATTAAAAAAAATTTAGTCAAAGCACGAGTGACTTTATATGGAAAATTTAATCATTATCTCCTTGTAGTAGATTACTTGATTTTTTTTTTTAATTTATAATTAAAAAATATATAAAACTTAAATAATTAAACTTTTTTATAATAATTAATTTCAAATTAGTTAAATCAGAATTTATAATTTTTTTTTTTTAAAAAAAATTATTTTTGAAATAAATATTAACCATATTTTATTTGTATAAATAGATCTTTCTAAAAATTAAATAACTTAAACTATAAAATCAAGAATATATTAAGATGGACAGAATAAGATAAAAATCAGCCGAATTGAATTGTGATACAAAAATGAGACTTTGCACTTGTACAGAGGGAAGACAAGATGGTACGGGTAGTTAAAAGCTAAAATTTCACTTGCAATATGTAAGTGTACAAAGGTGTGAGAAGGGGAAACATAATTCAAAAATTATTTACACGTGACTAAATAACACTGAGATAAATCATTCATCAAGCCAGTCTAGACTGAAGCATTTCTCGGCAATTTGAACATGAAAACCTCGTATTGTCTTCTCCAAATCCTTCCACAGCCATGATACCCCATCGTCACAAATCACCCGTCTTAGAGACTGCAGCAAGGCAGCAGACCTTGGTAGTCTCTGAATTTGCGGACATTCCCTCATATCAATCTTCTCTAGTCGTGTTAGACATCCAATATCTTCAGGAAGATGTGCCAAGTTAATGCATTGAGAGACGTCAAGGTATTTCAACAGAACTAGCTCTCGAATCCCTTCGGGAATAGCTTTCAGTGTTGGGCAAGCATATAGCCGCAGAATCTCTACACGCTTCAGCTTGCCTATATTGGAAGGCAATTCACGGAGGTTGTGACAATTGCTGATGCTTAGACAGTCGAGAGAGGACATATCACAGATGCTTGAAGGCAGCTCAACTAAATCGTCACAATGGTCAATTGTCAGCTCTTCAAGGCAAGGGAAAATACAGGGCAGCTCCTCTAC